AGCCGAAAAAGCTGGGGTTGAGAGGGACACCAGGGCTGCCCTGGCTGTCTCCACTCATGGCAGGATAAGCACTCCTTCCACCACGTCTAAACCAGGGCCCCACAGCCTGGTCAGACCTTGCACCTGACTGCCATCATCACCATCATCTTCATCAACGTGTGGCCGGTGAGAGAGCAACGCAGCGCGGGGAGGGAATGTGCCTGGCGCAGGCACTGGCAGCTCGAGGCCGGACTCAGCACGAGGGCTCCCCGGCACGGCACGAGGGAGACTCCCGGCTGGGTGGCCAGGAGAACCTTCCTCCCAGCCCCACTGCAGCTTTCCAACAGGCACTCGGTGTGGATGCAAAGACACCAGCAGATAGAGAAGCCATACGCTGCTAGATTAGTTCTTTCGGTGATTAATTGCTCTCACCGTTAAAGACCAGTGGCTATTAACAGTGCTCTATTTTGGACATTCATCTACTGACCTTGCTCTGTGCTGGCATAAATCAGAGCAGTTCCACTGACAGCTTTATACCAGGAGAGAATTTGTCTCCAGCCTTTCGGGGAAGAGAAGCAGCAGAAGCAAGAGTAAAAAGTGCTGCTGGCCAGGGACTGGGGAGAAGTGGTACAGGTGATCAGGGCAGAATGGACGGAGGCTTCAGATGGGCATGGTGGAGGGCAGGCAGCACCCTCCAGACCACGAACAGACAGACCCAAGGCACCAGAGCCCCAATCCAGTTTTGATCCAACTGGATTTTGGTGAGTTATAGGACCAAGCTCAGGCTGGGCAGGCACCGGGACCCCATACAGCAACAAAGACCAAGATTTTCCATCTGTGCACTGGTCTGGATGACCCCTGGATTAAAGCCATCCCTGAAAACCAGCACACCGTGAAGAAAAAGACAGGAGCCCACATGTTCCACGGGATAAAGCTGCCTCAGCGCAGGAACGTCCCTCTGGCTCTGACGTCCCCATGTGCGAAGCAGGGCGTGCGTCCTGGGCAAAGGACACAAATGAACAGCACAGGCAAGATCAGATTATGTGAAATCCCCTGCTCACTTGACCTCCTTCACGTCCTGTCTTCTATTTATATGCCTTGGGGCTGCCAGGGACAGCACAGGTTGTCCTTGGTCCACACTTGCAGGGCTGGGGGGCGCAGCCGTGGGTCCGTGGGGTCAGGGTTGGCCCCTGGAGCTGCGTGCCACTGTCTCGAAAGGAGAAGTTTGAAGGGTTTCCTCCTAACAGCCCGACTGTGGGGTCTGCTACCCCCTCCTCGCTGGAGGTGAAAAGCAAACTGAAATGCTACCCTGGACTAGCCTCCCCATCAAGGGACAGGGGGACTCCTTGGGCTTCGGTCCTTGGGTTTCCTCAACAAACAGGGATTTATTCTTTGTTTTATGCAATATTTAACAAGAAGGTCCTGGCCGGGGGCCAGGGCTGGTTATGGATGTCTGCTATGTCTGCCTTGTTCCTCCCCTCCGGTCCCTTGCCGGCAGGAGCTGCTCACCGCCTGCTCCTGAGCGATATGTGGGTTTGGGGAGGTAGAGACGCCGCTGATCCGGAGCCCGGGGTTTGGTCTCGGTGCTGGTTCGGCACGACGGGACACAGGGCAGTGAGCACCCAAGGGAGTGTAGGAGCACCCAAAGGAGCCTGCTGGGAAGAGCCAGGTGTGTGAGGGGAGATGTCCTCCATGGAGAGCTTCGGGAGAGGGATCACGTCGGGGGCTTGGTGGGGCAGGGCTCGACTATGGCAAAGCAAAGGAGGCATTTGGGGGAAGTGAAATGTGGATTTGCCTTTACTACTGCTTTCTCAGCCTCCTCACAAAGGCTGGACACAAATCCCCCGGGCCTCAGAGGGTTTATTTCCCTAGCAGTGGGAGCCAGGGCCAAGGAGAGAGGGAGCGTTGGGTGCCTGTGCCAATCTCTCCCCCCACAAGGACACCGTCGTCACACCCCACACGCCGTGCTGCAAGGCGAGAGCAGACCCTCTGTACCTCAGGCTGGAGAAAACAGAGCCGGTAGCTTGGCTGGCATCATCTGGATTTAACCTTCCAGCTTAGTCCCCTCTGGGAAGCAGGACGTGACCTCCTCATTTCCACCGCCCAGGCACGACTGGCAGCCGGCAGCGGCGGCACACGGCTCTGCATCTCCAGGCTGGAGCAATCAGCGCGCAGCAGGCATGCACAGACAAGTGTCAGCTGAATTTCTGTACGACTTTAAATACATTAGCAAGGCCACAAACACAGCTCCAAAGTGCTGCAGGCACAGCCGAGCTGATAAATAACCCCCAAACCCACCAGCAAAAAAATACCCCCCTTCTTTCCACGGGAGATAAGGCTTAGCATCACTTTCCCCCTTACATCTGTAGAGCAACTGAGCAAATCCACTCTCTGCCTCCCTGTGTTTGAATCCAGTACCAGAAGGGTCAATTCTGTGCCACTTCTGCGGAGTCATTATACTGTCGGTTATATAAATGTCTGGGCATGCACAAAAGGCAGTGCTGATACAGTGGCTCCGACACCAACTCTCTCCAACACCTGCTTTTCAGCTGGAGAGAAAGCCGAGCACAAGAACATCTCGAGAGCTGTCACACAGAAGGCTGCTGTCTTTCAGGCTGAATGGAGGTCTAAATAGCTCTCACTTCTCCTTTAGAATCTCATTTCTAAATGCAATTAATACTGGCACATGCATAATGAGAGACTGACGAGTGAATACAGACTCCGGCAATAAAGAAGCCAGCCCCAAGTGCTATGTAAATATTACAAATCCTCACTAGAAGCTGACCTGGGGAAGACAGCTTTCTGATGATTAAACCCAAGTGACAATACGACTGGATTCCTACATCTGTCACAATACTACCTGCTGATACATAATGAGCTACGCTAAAAGAACTAGCTCTTGCTGCTCTTCAATGCAGATAAAATGTCTATTTGTAGAATGTAATTAATCTCTTCTTCAAAATCAGGAACCTTAGTGTCCTTGGTAACAACATGCCAGTGACTCAGAGAGCATCTCCGGCTTTTTCTTCTGATTTTTGAGCAAGTTATTGAAAGTGACCCCGAATTCTAGCACTGAAAAGGAGCTGTGCTTCAGAAGGGGAAAAGCCAGCTGGGTATCTGGAGGTGGGGATGGATTTTATCCACCTCTCTGGTCTCTGCAGGACTCCTTCAGCAGCTTAAGGAGGTTCCTGAACTTATTTCAGCCACGTTCCCTAGGATAAGACGAGCTCTGCCCTGAGACCTGGTCCCCAACCCATCGAGCACAAATTCCCTTTTACCATCAGGTATAACCAGGCAGAGAACAACACTGAAAGCAGAGCAACGGCAAGAATCGCAGGATGAACCTCCTCCCTCTTTTGCCCGGTTTCCGCAGGCAATGAGTGCTGTGCGGTCACGCCGTGTGTGTGTGTACATGCACACACGCGTGTGGCTGCTCCCCCAGATGGCTTTCGAGCTTTGGTGGCTTATTTCAGCCAAGTTTGGCAGGGGATAGAGGTTCAAAGACATCCAGTCCCTACCAGGTAGCAAAGACGCCAAGCCACGAGCGCTGATGTGGCAGAGGGACGCAGGGTAGCGTAGTTGGCAGAGCCCCTGGTCCCTTTGAGGGTTGTGGTCCCTTTGAGGGTTGTGCTTGGGCATCACCTGCTCCTCCGGCCACCCCGCTCCAGGCTGGCTGAGATTTGTGCCGAAAAGACAAAGCTGGGCCACTCAAAAGCATCCAGGGGCCATATCTGCTTTCTATGAATTTCAGTGGGAAGGAACCACTGCTGGATATCGCTCAGTGACCCAGTTCCAAAGCCCAGGGGAAGGAAGGGCTGTGACAAAGGGACAGCTGGTTGGAGAGAATGGGAGAGGGAGGACTTGCATGATTTATTTATTTCCTGGCAAAAAAAAAAAAAAAAAAAAAGAAAAAAAGAATTGTTGGATAAAATCAGCATATTCCAGGCTAAACTGTGCTGCAGCAACTCCTCGTGGGACTTGAGCTGAGGTGCTTGGTCCCCCTGCAAGGGACATTCAGCCCTGCATGCTGCATGAGGCTTTGCAGAGCCAGGGGGGCATGGGGAAAAGGAGGTTTTTATTGTTACAGTGGGCTCAGCTCCTTTCACACCAAGTCACCTTTTCTTGCAGCAAGTGATTGCTTTCATTTAGAAAGGGTTGCCATCGGCACCGCCTGCCCACCGCTCACCCCATCTCCTCTGTCCCCAGGCATCCTGAGGAAGAGGAAGAGACCAGGAGAGAGGCTGGCTCTGACCCTCGCACCACGTAACACCGCTTTGGAGTAAAAGCCAGGTGGGATGTAGCAGTTATCCGGGATAGGTGCAGCTCTGGGGAAATTGTGGAAAGAAAGCGCCAGCTTGGGGTAAAAAGCCTTTCTGTCCTGCTTACAGACCCCTCAAGCATTTTAATGATGGTTTCTTCATGTTTCACCCAGGATTTATAGGGGTGTCTGCTTACTGGTAAGGCTGTGAAGGCTCTAGAAAAGTGGCTCGCTCTGGAGGAAGGAAATTAGAGCCTGAAAAGGTCTGATTGGAAGGGAAAAGTCCATTTTTCCATCACTTTCAATAGCAGCTCAGTTCCCAGCTGAGGGCACATCCAGCCCTTCCTCTGTGGCCTCCCACCTGCATGCCAGGAGCATCTTGTAGGGACGGAAAAGGCAGCAGAGCCAGGACTGGCTGGTTCGGATGGGGTGGGGATGGGGTACATATGGTGTGGGGATTTGGGACTGATGTGGGTTTGTGTCCTGTACAGTGACCCCAGGGAGTGAGGGCCAGCTCCAGGCTGTCCATCTGCGGCTTCCAGCAAAGGTAGGGCAACTCGCGCCGCTGTTTTGGCCCCGGGAGGAAACCTCTGGTGTCGAGGGTGAGGGGATGCTGGGCTGGGCTGGGGCACGTGCGTGGGGTTCAGGGAGGGGAACTGAGGCCAGGGCTGTGTCTTTCCTAATCCCCCCAGCCTACAAGGCACTGCTGAATGCCCGTGGGCATCTCAGGGACCCACCTTGCCCTGCCTTCCCTTCAGCAGATCCCCTAAGGCTCATAACCTCATCTTTCCCAGCTCTCAGCAAACAATTAACCATGACTCCTTCTCCTCCTTCAGCTCCCCTGCGCCCTGCAGCCAGCACCCAGCACATCCTGGCCTCAGCAAATGCCAAAACCCCCAGCAAAACAACCCACGATGCCAACCTGCAC